TGGAGATAAGAATCCGGGGAACTTGAAATATTCTGGAACAATGTATCCTGAGTCAACTGGTTGGACATGCAACAGAGCTCAGCCCACTCAGGCAGGCATGTGTGATCAACATGCAAAAGCATGTGCACAAACGTACATCAATAGTCTCAAAACAACGGATGGATCATCTGGCCATAAGGTGCTTTGCATTAATTGAGGCTTGGACCCATTGTGGCATACATGGCCTGAAAACGAGCAAATACAAAAACACTCAGCAAGCAACGGCAGCCTTGTGTGGAAGTCGAACATCGCCGTATGATTGTGTGCTCGCGCCACAGATGCTTCGGCCGCTTGCTGCTGTCTCAAACACGTGGCAATCAGGCTCTGGCTATGCGGCCGTGCTTGATTTCGACAGCCCGACGGCGCTTGAACGTTGCTTCGTCCTTCAAATCAGACTTGCAAATCAGGTGTAATTCTTCCATGGCATGACTGGCCTTGTCGGCACTCAGGCCGAGCGGATCCCAAAATCCAATAGGGTCCTGTTCGCACGAATAAAAAGACAGGAGGAGGCAACGTTGGGAATCAATACATCGCGCCTCTCCAGTCATGTGCTCTCGACATCTCTCAACGACTCAATGGAAAGATGGGTTGGTAATTCCATTCATCTTCCCAACAGAACCGAAGAAATGCCTTTACGAGCTAACATGGTTGTTTTTGGCAGCTGTCTATGGCTGCGTGCCACTGGGCGATATCTTCATCATCACTTTTGCAGCTCGTTTCTGTTCGGATTAGATCTTGGTGGATGATTGGAGCACTTCGTTTTCAGGCTACCTGCGTCGCAGGCAGCACATCGTCCTGCCCAAATTCTCAAGCCAGCTCAGCACAACGGGTTCATAATTGACATGTTGCAAACCAAAGCTGATTCAAGTGGCCCAAGGGACTCGACCCAACCCCATGCGAGTCAGGATTCATGTTCCCGCCCCCTGAAAATGACGTCCCCAAATGTACTCATACCAATTCTCACCAAAGATGCAAAAATTAGCAAGTGCTTCATGCAAGATGCGACAGCCGCGTCCTGCACGCCAAGCTCTTTGGCCGGGTCAAAACTTGCATAGCTGGTGCCACCGTCACCGCCAAAGAATTTCCGACAGGTCTGGTGAGGACAGGCGACGACAGGTTTGCAATTCCGGAAGCTTCAAGTCACACCACAACCTATCCATTATCTGGACAGCGCATACTTCATTGCAAATGAGTTCAACAAGCCCGCCTTAACGGTCTTCTTGTTGGCCTTGGCTGCAAGGCAATTAAAGAAACGGTCAATCTTGCTAGTACGACTTGAGTGGTGGTCCTGTCTTGCAGCCGCAGCGGCCTCAAGCCAGACTCTAGCTTCAGATAACTGCTTTCTGAAACAAGCTGACAGACAGCTCTTGCCAAGTAGATGGATGGGTTTGTGCTGCCACAAGACAACACAGAATGGGCAATGCAAAAATCTGCATCCGAAGAAAACAATTTCTTGACACTGACCCAAGGACACCTGGGTCAAAGGACAACTTGGGACATTGCGAGAATTCCACTCGAGGCACATCCCACGACAGCCGCGGAGGAAAACTCCTGAAGCTCGAAGCGAAACATGCTCGTGGTGCCAGCATCTCATGCCGAGCTAATCGGCCCAGCTCAGGAGCTTACAGACCCGCTTCCAGGCTGGTGAGACCTGACAAAGAACCCCCGCATGGCTGCTATTCCATTACGCATATCAGTACCCCCGCAAACGCAGAAGCAACAGCACGACAGCACGAGTGCCGCGAGATGCCGCGAGATGCCGCGAGAATCTGAGACCCTTGCTGCTGCTGCCTCTGCGGAGCTGCTCGTGGGGCTGGATTCACGCCCGGGGTTAGGAAGCTGGGTGCCTCAAATCTGCTTCACAGGCAGCCAAAGCAACCCAGCAGCGTTTCCGATGGCATGCTTCCGTGACTTCAGTGCCGCGATGGCCACGATGGCCGCCAGGTCTCCAAACAAAGATCGCGCACTCAGGGGCTTGCAGCAACAAATGCTCCGGCAGCCAATGCGGCACCTGGATTTTCACTTGCTTCGACCTAGTGTCTTTGTGAACCTGCATGCTGCATGCAGGCGAGGCACCACATGCAGCGCGTCGTCCGGTCATCGTGGGAAAAGTGCCTGCAGACATCTGCAAACTACAGCATGACATTTCTGGCTGTGAAGATAGTGAGGGACATTAGCCGACTTCAGGCACAGCTTGTACGGTGTCCTGGCTAGAACTAAAGCGAGTAAGGGTCGGCTGTACACTTACTGCACAAAGGCATGCTGTAAGAAGACCACATTCCAAAACGGGCTGTTGGACTTTCGCCCTTCATTTAGCTTTGCTCTCGAACACTGCCTGTGCTTTCTGAGGTGCTGGCAAGTGAATCCAGCTCTGTTTGCGCTGCGGGTGCTGCGTTTGTCAGCCGAGATTTAACAGATGCAAATACGCACGTTCCTGGTCAGCTTTGAAGAGCAGCAGACATAGGCCAAAATGCTGACTGCAGAACAAATGTTTTCAGCGAATCCAGACGGCCGTCAGGCAGATGCTGGGTCTATGACACAAACGCTTTCCAGACATCGTTTGATGTCCGAAACCGAAGTGACAGGCAAGGAACATCAGACGCTTATCCGAAAGTTCTGCTGAAATCATTTCGGGGGGGGCCTGCTTGATAGCATTGAGCTGTGACAACGGGGAACGTGTTGATAGTATTGCAACGTCTTGCAGACGGTCTCTGATGAACTTCCTGAAGGTTTGCACAGGAACATGTTGAGGAACTTGTTGACGGTTTTCGGAGATGCTGCCCGCCACATAAGAAACCTCAACGAACGCAAGGCAAATAACTTTTGCACACGGGCTCCTGCTCTTCAGGAGCTTCTTGTACAAAGGGAGCTACCAACAACAGAAACTTTCTATCTGAAGCCCAGGTCTTCCATTGCGTGTCGCGTCTTCCTGCGCTACCTGGCATGGCAACTTAATCCAAAGCTGCACCATTCGCACTTGACCAACGCACAGGCCTTCTGTGCACAGTCTTCCGACCATCATTCAATCTCTGAAGCAATCGCTTGCAGATGACAGTGGTCTCGGCCATGTCGGGGATTGGATGAAGCTGAGTTTTTGGCTGTTCATCTCCGGACTGAGAGGCAAACATCGTCCCATGCCTCATCGAGCGCATTCTGCTCCTCGTTGCTGGAAACCACCTGCACGCTTGTCCGTCGCATAAGCTGCGCTTGGCGATGCCTTCACACTACTTGCCTGCCGCTCTTTTCTCAGCGGGATGTCTTCCAGCAAGGATTCTGCCTGGAGGAAGAGAGCATGAGAAGCATGCGAATAAAAGAAATGGTTCCAAGATCACAACACATGCTGAGTGTATCTTGGAAGGTGCCATGCTGTAGGGAGCAGGCTATATCGCGAACACCGCGACGAGCTACGGCTGCTTTGGCCTCCAACGTTTCTCTGCAGTCCGGTGCAATAGAATTCTACACTGTGAGTAGCTGTGTGGGTTCTGTGACTGAGATTCGATGTTGCGTGAAGCTGGCCTCGGAGTCAAAGGTCAGTCCATGTAAGCATCGTAATGAAGCCTCCAGGAGGCGCGGAGCCTTCAAGCGTTACAACTCGCGACACACAAATCTGCAAACTCCTGCAAAATCAGAAATCTGATTGCAGGAGGTTTGGATCATAGGGTGAGGCACTGGCTCGGAAACATGCGTGAATGAGCAAAGCCTTTTCAACATCTACATGATGCTTCCGAAATTCCCAAGCCCCTCTGTGCCTGACAAGGAACCTCGGTGTGCAAGCGGGCATCATCATGTGATTGTTACAGATTTGCACATGCAACGCAAAGCTTTGAGAAGAGCGCCTCAGCGCATCTTGACAAAACATCGACACCTGGAAAACAATGGCGTGATGCGTGTCTGGCCAAGCAAAGCAGGTTGAAGTACCGTTCTCGATCTGCTCGGATTTGCTTGGGACAGCAGACTGGCTCCTGATTGACAAGTTCCTTTTCCAAAAGGCCCTAACATTAGAATCCGAGCTATGGTCCTGCTGAGGGAGTTTCAATTTTGACCAGAATTCAAAATGCTTGCTTGTCTTCTTGAAATACAATGCCAATATGTGCCTCCTGCAGCGCACAGTTCTCTGGGCAGAGTTCGGCAAAGCCTCCGCGTGGACGGTAGCATACCCCCTCCAGTTGCTGTAGGGCTGTTCAATGAAAAACCCACATAAGACAGCTTCGTTGCCATTCAGACGAAGATATCTTGACGAAATGCGTCATGAGATGTTGATAACGGACTGACGCGCTGGCTTCTCCAGCACGCGTAGGGCTGCCAGCGCTGTTCCACCACCATGGCGCCTCAGGCATCAAATATTTGGCAAAGTCGACATGTACTGACTTGGGACAACGAAAACAGCAGCTACCCCCAAGCGGGGAATTCCGTGCCGACCTGCATTCTTTTCATAAGAACCGCTACCTGTAAAATCATCAGGCAGGCCCAAATCTTTGCCCCAAGTATGGAGATTCCTTCTGTACAGACCCCGCGAACCCCTACTTTCGGAAACTTCATCTGTTGCAAAAGTGACAGCTTTCCAAGACACACATAAGATGCTGGCAGCGTGCCTTAGGATGGCCAGCAGCGCTTCCACGCCCTGCCCAGTGATCAGGACAAAGGTTGTTAAGTACCGGAGACTACAAGAATAGTACAATAGCTTTTGCAGTTGTCCTCCCGCGCCTCCTCTCGATACTACTTGTACTACAAATACTGACACAGCAGCGCCGGTAGGACTTCTGCTACTACCACAAGCTGTAGTTCTACCAGCGCTCACAAGAATAGTTGTAGTTGTCGTAGCGGAAGTGCTTGGAGTAGGGTAGAAGAAGTAGCAGCAGTCCTAGTTGTGTAGCACATCGTCCTATCAGTGGTGGCAATAGCTGTCGTAGTGGCAATGGCAGAAAGGCTGTAAAGAAAACAGATAGCCGCTTAGCCCACCTTCAGTTGCGCAAACTCTTGGTGGACGGCAAGGCACTCCTTGTCATAAAGCAGGGCCAGGAGCCTGGCGATGTTCGGAGCTGACAATGATAACAAACCGTCACCATAGCAATGATAATAGCTGTCGCAATTTCAAAATACAAGAATACACAGACGCATCGCAATGATGATAATGACAAGTACAATGAACGTTCGTGTGCTCTGGTTTCTTGAGCCATTACCATCTGACGAAGCTCAATATGTTTAGTATCTTCCGGCCAAGGAACCTGACCTAAACTTCAGAGCAACTTGAGCGATGTAATTCGTTCCATCCCTACACGATGAGCATGCAAACATGGAGGCTAGCCTTAGGTCTAGCCTTAGGGATTAGGAGGTCGACCTCACTGTGTGCAAGTCTCACATGGGTGAGTGAACCACTCTGAAGCAATCAGCAGGAAGCCTATGAAACTAATTACACTCAAATTTCATGATGACAATCGCTACGGTAGTATTCCTGTAGATTACAATCACTTCATGCAATGCTGCCAGCAAGATGCAACTGCTAAAAAGCATTGAGGCTGCAAACACACAGGACGTTCTAAAATTCAGTGCCAGTAGGGACTTTCGGGATTGAAGGGGATTACAAAAATATTGGGCCCTATTGGAGGCACGTTGGTAAACCGTCACATCATGCCAACCGACCTAAGGACAAATTGGTGTCAGGCTCTCATTAGTAAGGAGCCGCATTTGGACACCCAGACATACCCTCCCGCAAATTAAAATTGGGATACATTGGAGGTTCCAAAAACAAAAAGTGTAGCCATGCCAGTCTCAGATCTGAAACCTGTCAGGCAGACCCATGACAAATTCTCTGCACGTGCTCCGCGCTGCCAGCATTGATTGCAAGGGCAGATAAGGCACTACCTTGCGAAGCCAGACTGATGCACAGGATGTCCGTAGCAATCTGATAGCTTCCAACTAGCCTGAGTTCTTCTCGAAAAATGATTCCTAAAAGTCTAGAAGGGCCCACATAAATAGATCATAATGGATCCCACTTCACCAGATTGTCCATGCAATGGTGCCACCGAAATGCCCAGCGTTGCTGCTCCAGGGGGGGTCGCAGCAGCACCTTGCACGGCAGCAACTGCAACCTTGGCAGCATCAGCAGAGCTGCGTCAAGAAAACGCGACTGTGTTTAGGCAGTCATGCCTGGCAGGCTTTATGAAACTTTGGCAGATTTTTGCTGGGAATCACGAGCATCATGATCTCAGTCGCTCCATGCCGGTACTCAGATTTTATACACCCCCCCCAGTCTGCTCTGGCACTGGCCTGGGGCAGGGCAGCGGCGGTACGCCGAATGGGAGAATCCTGGAGGCCGCTCAGCGCGTTCTTCCTGAAGCGCTGGCTTTACATTACTGCAGCTTCATAAAGACGACCCTGAAACCACATAAGGTGGTCCTCCACGAGTCAAACAACCCTGAACGACAACCGGTACCCTGGAGACAAGCCCTGGATTTGGCGCGCAGTCTGAGTGCTTCACTTTCGACGCAGCTGGTCGGCGGCCCAATCCCGATCCTGGCACTGGCAGAATTATTCAATTGGGGGTTCATGGGAAATATATAGGACAGGGCATTCAAGAGATTGTACTGCGACACTTGGATGCACGTCTGCAAAGACTGCCTCTGGCGCCGGTACTTCCTTCAAAACAATGCAAACCTCGCTCTTCATCCTTACAACCAATTCGGCAGGCAGGCCATTTCAGTGTCATGGCTGTAATTCATCTAAGCCGGCCCCGTGGTGATGGGGCTGAGAACCAACCTTGCTTCCTTGAGAAGACCGATTATGGACGCCGACAGTCTGCACCAGGGGAGAGTTCTCTGAACGCTTGAAAAGAAAAACACCCTGTGGAAGGAAAACTAAACGTGTTGCTTCCGATTGTACGCTTGAACGGCGTGAATCTCTTGAAGCCCCTGCAACTGTGATGTGAGGCTCTCGGTCTCAAGCAGCCCTGCAGGGAAGTCCGCTCAACTCTGACAATTCCAGACCACTTTTGCTTCCTTTTGCTTATTCTGTGACGCGTTAAGGCTGTCGCGTGAAAAAGAAAAATGCAACTCGAACTGGCAACGCGGCATGCGGACAGTACACTAATTTGAAGCGAGCGCACAGGCTCTTACAACACTGCTACTCTGTCACTGCCCAGAGATGGGGATTCCGGTGATTGCAGTACGGAGGCTTAGGAGGTTCAGCCTGTGGCTCTCAGATGCGGCTCTACTGCCGAGTTGGCTCTGAATCGTCAGCGGCAAGCTGCTCGTAGCCCTTGAGCACGCAGCATTTAACAGTGTGTCAAAGCTGCAGGAGCAAGCTGCACCCACAGCTATGCCAGCCTTCTCCGTTTCGATAAAGAGGGCGCCCTCTGAGCAGATCGGCTCCCTGCCAAAAAGGCCGAGGATTCAGTGGTGTGACGAAAGGAACCCAAATTGGCTCGGCCTAGCCGCAGCTTTGCCTGAAGTGCATTTTGCAATTTGCTAAATCGAAAGCGCACTTGCCCAGCTTGCAGTCTGTACCGCATCCGGCTTGTGGCCTGCTGGACCTGCGAGAATCACTGCTGCCGCTGAGGTCACGAGGATGCCGCCCGCAAGTGCACCGAAAAGTGCCTGCAGGCTGGACCAACTTTACAACATGAATTGTTTCAAGCGCAATCCATCCTGACTGAGAGGAAAAGTTGTCAGCACGAGTGCCATGTTGAGCGCCTTGACTGAAGGACACGGCGAAATGCAATGACATGAATTCGGTGGCACGCTACAGGAAAAAGAACTGCGCCAAGAGTCGGCGACTGCTAGAACAGCTCGTCCATTCAAAGGATGTGCCAAATATCGGATCTTTCCAATCTCAGTCCAAAGGGCCGGCAGAGATCAGAGACCCAGCATACGCAAGTACACTTGGACTATCTTGACGCAGCAAGCTCCACAAATCCAAAATGCACTTGCTCAAAATCACGCAGAAAGGCTTCGTTATGCCCTGCCTGCAGGCCGAAGTACTTCGACCAGCCCTGAAAAGCCTGCCATGATCTGTCACGAGAGCTGGAGAGGTTCAATCGCTGAGGACCTGCACGAACATGCATCCCAAGACCACGTAGCCGAGCAAGGCATGTGCCGTCCTGGGACAGCACACTTCTTCGAACGACCAGGGATTTGAATCAGGCAACAGTCTGAACCCTTACGAAGGTCAAGTGGCGAAATTCGAACTGCATTCCAGCCGAGCTTCTTTGCTGGCGGGTTGCCAGGGTCAAAACCAAGCTGGGAACCGCCTTGTAAGTTCTCATGCACGCATATCAGGACAGCTGTGCAGATGCTGGACAAGCAGGCCCCGGCCCATCAGTTGGTGATTGCGGAAAATGCAGCAGTATCCAACCTTCAGCCAGAAGCTTGAAGTGCATGTGGGGAATCACTCGACGTGAGCTGCCGATCTGAATTTGCTGGCGCAGGAGCTACAGCTGCCAGCACCGCAGTCGACTGGATAGCAGCGTGGATCGGTCTGACGCTGTCTCTGTTCCTAAATTTCGGACAGGTAATCAATCCGCTTCTTCGAATACAACTTTTGAGTAGTGGTCCAGCATGTCCCTCAGCTCAGGTGTCGACTTTCCTCCCATCAGCACATAGACCACCTCTGACCCATTCCGCTGCATTTGTGAGACCAAGCAACTTCAAGGCTGAACCGTCTTTGGACGTAAGTTCGGATCCGATCCGCTTGTCATCAGGCACCAGCAAACCAGCATGGCCGCAATGTGGCCAAAGAAGAGGATCGGCATCGCTGTGAACCTCATGTGAGCGTGTAGGATGTTTCATTAGCCAGCACCTGCAAGGTCTGGAGTAAACCCAAGCAACTGCGCAGCACAACCGATGCAAAGGGCCACCGCGAGCCCGACAACACCTGCCGCATACGCCCAAGGCGCCATGGCTTGCGGCAGGCAGCTTGCAGTGCAAGTAACTGGGCACCCAAAAGGGCTTATGCAGCATGTCATGAATGAAGGCTGGCTTAGCATTCTTCCTTTTGAGACATCCATGAATCAAAATCTGAAGCGGGCCAAAAGAAAGCAGGTACTGTGACTCATGCTTCCTGCTACATCAAGGTTACACAGAGTCCTTCGGCTCAATAGTCAGCCTTGCATGCGAACCTCGCCGTCTCCACGGCTTCTGTTAGGCAGTGAGCGCACTTTTTCTACAAGCCTTGCGAAATCTCTGCCCAACCCTTTTCCAGAGCCATGCTCGGGCCAAGAGCAATCTGTCCACAAATCCTCCACATAGCTGAGGCCATAAGAGCATGCAGAACTACCTTTGCAGATTCTGTCTAGCGAGAATCCAGCTGGCCTGCTGCAAGCCAATAGGCCACGAAAATCAAGGCATGGCTCATGGCTCGGCTTGGCGTTGGTGGGCGTTTTGAGTCTTGGAGCCCTGACGTCTAAAGAGCTACGGCAAGCGGCCTTACGCCTCTATGTTTTCCTAGCATGCTGACCACTGCTTCCATCATGTCTTGAGCCTCAAAGTTTTGGCACACTCTGCTGAATCAATCACAACTACATGTTTGGCATGTACATGGCTCAACCCCGGTTCTTTTCGCGAGTGAAACAGCATAGCGCCTGCTGAGGTGGGACACGAGACCCGAGTGACTTAACATTGTGTGCGTTTCTTGATCGTTTCAGAAAGGCAGAAAATGTCCCATCTCGCATGCGCAGCGTCTTGAATTCCAGGATGGCAATTTGCTTAGCCATCTATGTGTCGTAGCCCTCTCCCTGGATGAAACCCACGAGCTCCTGCCCGCAAAACATCCACAATGATAGAGATGGAAGACGTCGGTTTGTCAACGAACGGCTGGTTCCGGCTTGCCTCTATGTCCACAGCTCCAGAGAAGTCCGTGTCCATGATGGCGCAAAAGGACTGGATCTGATAATCTGGGACCACGCTGGGGGGGATCCTCAAAGCAGCTCCGATCTTCAAGAACTCCAGCATGGCACATTGCATGAACAGAGCTCCGAGCCGCAGCACGCGTCGAAGGGCCTGCAGCATGCTGCTGAAAACGTGCCAGACGTATTCAACGCAAACTCTTCTACTGACTGGGCCAGTCTGAGAGCAGAGCCGCTTTCACCTCATCGATCTCCAGTTCGCCGCTCCTGTCCTCCGAAAAAATGCAACATTTGGCAGCGACCAGCAACGAAAGCATCATGAACAATCGTTGAGAACGATGATTGATGTTATCAAACGATCGTCGTTCAAAAATGTTCCAAAACGTTTTTCAGCATATAGCGCCATGATAAAAAGACATTGAAGTGGCCGAAAGTGTGCGCACAAGGTTCTGGCAAGCGCCCCCGCAAAGATCGTATGCCTGATTGACGGGTTCAGGCGTGCACAAGGGAGGGGTGCGCATATCACTATTGGGACAAGATGACTGGCGATGCTGGGTGGCGAATTCTGCACAAGCAGCGTGCGAGGTGGCATCCGCATCGCAAGCATGCACATGCATTTGCGGCTGATTGCTGATCCTCTTCGTATGACGTCCCTTTGGGGCTTGAGGTCTGCTACTTCGAGAATGTCATGTATTTGGAAAAGCCTGTCAGGGCACAAGCTCGCACAAGCTTTGCAAAAGCGCGGTCCAAGGCCCTAGAACCGAGAAAAGGACTCTTCACTCAACAATGGGCTTCACTCAAACAATGGGTGAACACCCTCCTCATCTAAGACGCGGTTAGCTTCCGTACAAGCCAACATGTCCACTTTCCCAGCCCACATCCACGTCCTTGTCTAACCGCCGGAAAAGGAGGGCAAGGTCCACGCCACTCCACCCAGCATACCTAGACTGAATCACTTCTGCGAGGTAGGCTGCTTCTCGCTCAGGGCTTCTGAGACTTATCAGGGTACGGGACAAAACTTCAAGTGGGAAGTGGAAACTCGCCAACCACACCCAAGCAGGGGCCACAAGCCCAAGTGCCCGCCAAGTTACGCAGCTCGGAGTATGCAATTCTTGATTTTCTTCACTGTCTGGCGAGGCGTGAGTGTTAGCATTGAAGAAACGCATCTGCACAAGCTAGCTCATGAATGTATGTGTGTGTGTCGGAAGCTCAATGATTCAGGTGCAGACTTTTGTGTCCAACGTTGGAGGCGTCGGCAATCCGCGCTTCTTGCGCTCCTTCATGAGGCAACTTGATTTTCATGTTCAGGAAGGCACGGAATTGCGCATGCATCCTCAGCGACAACGTGGGCCAAACGTGCCTGCCAATGGACCCATCTGAAGACAGAAACAGCACAAGGGCTTCAAACAGCTTGACCCAAGACGTTACCAGTGGCGCGCAACTTACCTTGCTGGTCCCAGCTGCGTGCTCCCACGAGTGAACATTTCCCGGATACACAGCTACAAGTTCTACAAGCAAGGGCTATAATACTGGCACAACGCTAAATGCATGATGCAAGGAAACATACCGGTGCCTTCATCTGAGCCCGTTGTCGCTTCAGCTCTGCAACCTCCACATTGTGAGAGAAGGACTGAATTATCATGGAGTCGGATAGGAGCACACGTTTGCCGCTCCTGTTGCCGCAAAGCATTGATCTCTTCCTGCTCCCTTGCTGCATCCTGACAAGCAACAGTGAAAGGAAACACCCGAGGCATGACGCCGTGAGGCTTCTTTGACTGGTGCTGTTTCAGCAGCTTTTGGTAATGGCCGTGGCAGCAGTGCCTCCATTGAGTTGATGCCACAGCGGTCGAAAGTCTCCTGCGAAACAAGCCAGTAGCTTCAACATAAGGAGTCAGGGACACTGGTCCTGCTCCAGGAGCCACCTGCGCTACAGCAGCCGATAAGAGAGCAAAGCAGCAGCAGCAGCAGCAGCAGCAGCAGCATCAGCAGCAGTTGATCAACTTGAAGGAATCTGATGGCTACAGGCATGCAACTGCAGCCTCAGCATGAACTTTTCCGGATCACGAGGGCATTCCTTCAGCAGGCTCATCACCATTTCCTGCATGGAGAGGATGACAACTTCCGAAACGCGGGAACCCCAGCACCACGTTTAGCTTCTGTGTGCCAGAATGGAACTAGCAATCAGGTATGCTGCATGCACAGAAAGCTTTGCATGTAGTCTGCTCTTGCGCAGGAAAAGGCGCCGCAAGCATCTTCAGGTTGAATTTCATGCTGCGCATTGTGGTTTCCATGCCACCTGTGGTAGATTACGGTGATAAGGCTGACAGCACCCATGGCCTGAAGCACAGGGTTCACAAACTCCTGGCGCCACATGACTGCAAACACAAGGTGGCAGTGAAGCAACCGCTGCCCGTCTCTGTTTGATGGCGAGCTGTTTTTTGCATACAGAGTTGGTCAGAATGAATGGTTGCTGGCAAAATCAGCAATTCGGCGCATGCCACAGATCGGTTCGATGCTCACGCCACGCAGCTCCTCAATGTAGCGCCTCACTTCCGTTGAGGTCTGGATGAGGTGCATTTGTTTTTTTAGCAGCCTTTGGAGTTGACTACAAGCCCAGTCCCAACAATGCTTGCAGGATTTGTAGGCCCAAAACCCCTGTCGAGCCTAGAACCCCTTAACTCTCAAAACCAGAGTCTTCGACAAATCAACTCCTCTGCGGGGATCCTTCCAACAAGATCTGTGTAAACGCTTCGCCACAGCCAAACCCGAAAACCCCAGACTTCTACAGCCTACACCCTAAGCCCCTAACCCAACACCCCCCAATCCATTCTTGGCCCTGCAGCTTGAAGTGCTCAAGCCCCAATAATCCATAACAATTCCTAAGCCCCTGCTTTGACCCCAAATCTCAAATCCGACAGATTCAATATCCGCCGAGGCCAGAGGCCTGGGGCATTTAGATCCAGGTCCGGAGGCTAGGAGAATAAGTTAACCCACCCCCTCGCAGTGTGCAGGGGGATGTGGTTGGGCAAGGGGTCCGGCTGGTCGGCTGGGCTTCGCACCGGCTGGCCTTCAGGGGGAGGTCGGGCGGGGGGCCGAGCAGGGGGGGAGAGGTTGGGCTGGGGGGTCAGGGTTCAGGAAGTGGTGCGAGAACTGCGCATGCAGCTCCCCTGCTGTCTGCTCTCTCCCCTCGACAACCTTTGCCGAGGCGGTCTCGCATTAGCGGTTAAATTAAACACCCAACATCTGCCAAACGCACACATCTCTCAACCCCAGACTCTAAATCTCTAAACCCCCAAACCCTAAACCTTGAATCCCTAAATCCCAAACCCTAAATCCTAAAAACCTAAATCCCTAGACCCTAAACCTCTAAACCCCTAAACCCCCCTAAACCCTAAACCGGGCCCCTGGCATCTTTGCCGCCGAGGTCTCCGCCTCGGGCGGCCGTCGGCTCGGCATGGCGCCAGGAGGAGTAACACCAGCAACAAAATTGTTATCAATGTTAATGATAGTAATAGTATGAATACGGTTTAGGGTAGTTTAGATTCGATAATGGTAACAATAACAAGAATAAGAAGCGAATACAAGGAATAACAATAACAACACTAATAACGGTCGTAAGGATAATAATGACAGGAATAACAATAATAGACTAATAATGGTAATAGTAGTGGCTCAGTCTTGAGTATGAGTGCGTGCAAGAATTGCGCAAGTTTTGCTGACAATCATACCATGACTGTCACTAGTACAAGTAAGGATACTCGTGACGATTAAATGTGATAGTGTTATCTTCTCATCCAGGTGGGTAGGTCAAGAAACACTGGTGTTCTCCATAATTAACAATGACCGAAAGGACTGTATGTTATCCAGGTCTTAACAACACATTTCATAGATACCCAACTGGGTTTCCTATGCCCTTGCGGAGCCCTAGACGGCAGGGAGGAGCGCGGCACAGACCATTGAACGAATCTTTGAACAAAATCTCTTCCAACTTAGGCTCTCATGATAATGCTTGGGTGAAGCTATGCCGAATCGGATGCTCACTGGAAGCTAGTAAAAAGCAAGTACTGAAAAGATTCCATAATTGGACTGGCGCCGCATGTCGTTTAATCAGGACGTCCAGCTGATGCATGTCCGGCTGACGAAGCTTGCACCATCTGAAAGACATGCAAACTCTAGCTTGCTGGCGCCCTCTCCCTTCCACTTTTTAACAGAAGCCCAAGCCATAAATGAGCTGCTCCGTGTCGCGTGTGAGGCGCTCGCAGCTCCAATCCCCAACAACGGTGGCAACATGAAGATAGCCACACGAATGGCAAAATCAAAGAAAGCAGTCTTCTTGAATTATGTTGATGACGTCTTTCTTATGTACAGTTAAGGGGTCATAATGAGCAGCACCGCTGCTGGCCACAGATGCTTCGCCCTGCACAGGAGCCAAACCTGCTAAGAGTGTTGAGTCCCAGTTCGGTTCTGAAGGCAGGTGTTGAGGCCTGTAGGCGCAGCAGCAAGCATGCGACCAACTGGTTCTGGCTGAGTTCGAGCACCAGCTCAAGAGACAAAACTTTTAGCTTCCACTCCCTGACTCACAGTCCCAGACTATCTAAACCAGTGGCTGAAAAGCTTGATTCCGGCAGTGGGCTGAGGACAAAGAAGCCGGGAGGAAGCGAGGGGTCAAAGCGCTGATACCCCAGACTGAAGCTTAGACCTCCTCTAGCATTGCAAAATTTCAAGAGAAGCTGCGTTCGCAGGCAATGACTAGGAACGAAGTCTGCCAAAGACTAAGGACGCTCAAAGCATTGCACACATTAGTGAGCATTAAGTGGCTCCCTCAGCCGTCTGGTCCTGGTCAAAATCTTCCTGAGAGGGAGGGAAAGGACGAACTTACTGGAACATGGCAGAAATCAGGAAATCAGCTGTCCTCTTCCTCATCTTCCTCACAGCTCACGAAAAGTGATGTGCAAGCCGCAACACTCCCAAACTCCAAGCCTCAAGGTCAAGGTCTTCTTCAGATTCAAGATCAAGCAGGTCATCGTCCATCAACTCCTAAAATCACCCGCTCCATTCCATGTGCTTGGTTGGCAATAGGCATCACATTTTTGTTGCTGCAGGAATGCGGAAGCTCCTCCTCATCACCCTCTAAACCCTCGAAGAAGATGTCCGGAAACTCCTCCTCACCCTCCTGGGCAAGCTTCCATAAGCCATGAGCTGCTCTTTTTAGTCAGGAGTTCCACCCACTCAGGGCTCGAAGAACTGACAAGTGCAACTCCAACCCTTGGTGCTGGAGGATGCTTGCTCTGTACGCATAGCGTTCGAGTCCTCCATGAATGCAAGGCTATCCTGGGAGGGCTCATCTGCCACCTGCAAACAAACGGAGCTCGAGTCAGGATCCTATTTTCAGTTTGCAGCAGCACCCAACAAATTGCCTGGGGCACATCAGGCTTCGCTTCAGCCTTTGCTTCCGCTTCCTTCACTGTATCTGCCTCGGCTTCCTTGGCAGGTGCCTTTGGCTCTGCCTCGGCTTTGGCCTTGGCCTTCCCCTTAGCCTTTGGAGCTGGAGCATCCTGCGGATCGAACCCCTCTCCCCATACACACATCTTACGAAACAACAAAAGATGATTAGGTCCTTGGCTTTTGCTTTGGCTTTGGCTTTTGGCGCCTCTTCAGCCTGCAGCGTGAGTGGGTCCAAATCGAAGACAGGACGTTGCTGAAATGGCCTTGGCTTTCTTCTTGGCACTGGCTGGCTCCTGAAGGTCCCATGCAGGTCAGCATTCGTCTCACATGCTGCTCGTCAAGCTTCCAGCCTCCTTTGGGGCAGCTCGCTTGCCTGGCTCTGGGTGGAAGTGCTGCCAGGTTCGATGTTTCGGGCGATGTTTTGGGGGAGGTCAACCTTCCAGGCATTTGGGGAGAAGGTGGCCGCTACTTTGCACAAAAACCATTTAGCACCACAGCATGACACACATGATGTGGGAGAGGCTCTAAAAGGTTGTCTCCGCTCAGAATCTGCACCAGGCAAGAAATTGCAAAATGCTTGGTGCACACAGGGTGTTACTAATCTGCACGAGTTGACCTTTAAATCCTGGTACAACACTCAGACGGGTGCCAGCTGCTTTCTGAACAAATCATGTCATGGGCCACCCATTGGACCGCAACCAAAGCCAAGCGGCTGCTGGCGACTCTACTACCAGAAAAGCTTGAGGCCGTCTGCTCTCTTAGAATGCCAGTTTGGATGTATGCTGAATTCTGTGGTATGGTCGCAAAATCCAGTGTTCTTGCTCCTCACAGCTGAAACCTTGATCCAAGCAAAGCCTTTCACAGGCAAGCTGAACTTTAGCATGCAAGCCAAAACTTTCTGCTTCAGACAAAGCCATAAGTCTTGTCAGGCTCAAGGCTGCAACTGTTGCACAAGGCTCTCATCATTGATGGATGACAACTCTTAACAGCCACATGACCAAGCACCTTTGAACCAAGCTTTCCACTTACCTGCTGGTCTGGTAGAGGCACAACCGCCATCTTCAAGTTCGGCCCATGCACGGACAACATCTTTTTTTCTGGCGCACGCACCAGACAAGGGCAGGTTCATGTCCTGCCAGATGAATACGAGATGCAGACAACGACAACGAACGACAGCGTCGCATGCGTTGCATCCGTCGCCTGAACTCCCTGAAAACGAAGTAGGCACGTCTCAATGCCTGAAACCAGGAAACATGCTGAACCTGTCCCAGTCCCATTGACCATGCCGACGCAGCAACCCTTCTGCCTCCTTCACCTCCTCTATGCTGCGTAAGCCGCTGATCGACACCTGCTCACAGTCAAAGCCGAGTGTAGACTGTTGGATGCAGGACTCGCCCACCTCGCAGCCTTTTCCAAAAGTGCAGCTGAAGAGTCTGCTAGCATATGTAGCAGATTAAATCAAGTTTGGAAAACAATTTGAGGCTGTGTGGTCATGCGGTTGGTTTGCAATCCTGACAGGCAGGGTCGTATTGCCAAACAATCTGTCCCTCGTATTTGCAGTGGTCGGCACACCCGACCTTTCCAACCTGTAGCATCGAGGCAGGGGGTGTGCAACCCTGGCAGGAAGGATCGTACTGCCACACTTGCACGCCCTCATACTTGCAATGATCTGCGCAGCCGGAGGCATCACCCACTGACTTGCTAGAAGCTGCTGTTTCAAGAACCATTTGCTGCATCAAAGCTGGAGAGCAGCCAGTGC